AAGGATACAATGAACACATATGAAAAGGACAAATCAAATTTCAGAACAGAAGGGGGATGGGGGGGGAAGGTTAATGTCTGTGAGCTAATGATATTAGAGGTGATAATTGGGGAAGCTATCTTTGTAATGGGTAAGATAGTTAATATCTTTGTTTAAACTTAGGCGTTAAGTGTCGAATTTAAGCATGAATGTCAGTTCAGTGCTTAAATTCAACACTTTATGCCTAAGTTTAAACAAAGACATTAATTATTTTACCCATTACAAAGATAGCTTCCCCAATTATCACCTCTAATATCATTAGCTCACAGACGTTTATCTTCTTCCCCCATCCCCCTTCTGTTCTGAAATTTGATTTGTCCTTTTCATATGTGTTCACTTTTTTAAATTGTATCCTTTGGTATATATGGTTGTGACTATTTTCTTCCACTATTTGATCTGAGGAAGTGGGTCTGGCCCACGAAAGCTCATCACCTAATAAACCATCTTGTTAGTCTTTAAAGTGCTACATAGTCCTGTTTTTTGTTTCAGCTACACCAGACTAACATGACTACATTTCTATCACTATTCTTCCTGCAAGAGGAGTGATGTTATGGCTTCACACCCTGCAGATAAAAGTAGTCAGTAGATGTGAATGAACAGGAGCAGCACAGGGATACAAAAAGGAAATAAATGTCTCTTCAGTGAAGCATATGTCATCAATGTAAGCCTGATTATGAATTAGTGAGGAGCTAGTGCAGTGATTACATGAAGACTTAGTTCTTTCATATCCTATATGTGAAACATCTGCAACTGAAACAAAATAAGGAATCTTTTCTTTTCCATATCAGTTGCTGTCCTTTCAGAATAAGTGTTATGCTGATGTTATCTGGAGCCCATTCTCTCTCCCTATAGTGTCTGCTCTAATTCCTGTCATGGTTTTTAATTTAAAGTTTTGAAAGTGAACAATTGAAGTGTTGCCTTAGGTGCCTGACACAAAGGCCCCCTGATGTGCCTATTTTTACTCAAAGTTAGTGGTAAAACTACTATTGACCAAACTAGGAAGAGGATCAGGAATCAGATGATTAAAAACTCCTTGTTTTTCACACTATCACTAACAAAACTGTGTTTTCAGAATACCATTTTCATGTACTGTCCAGGTGCATGCGGAGAACAGTGATCATAGGTGACACCTGATGAGTCTTTCATCCTGTGAAACAACACAATAAACAAGAAGTTCATCTCTCCTTTCCTCCCCAATTCAAGTGGAAAAGTGGATGGAATCATTTTTCTGTCTTTTATATTATTAAAGGAAATGAATTATAATTAAAGATACATGTTTTGTTTGTCTTATTTTGGGGCCATGGCTTCTTCCTTCTTACTGTCATAATTGAAGTTGATACTTTTGTTTCCAGTTATTAGCTAACTTTTCATTTAATTCCAATTCTCCCTTCTGAAAACTACTATGAATACTCTAATAATTGTTTTTAAGCAAAGGGTGTATTTTGATTCTGGTATGTTTCCCCCTAAATATATATATGCCTAACTATGAAGACTACATACCCTTCAGATGAACTTCCAAAGGCAGATGAAATACTAGATAGACTGTCACTGTTAAAAGCTTATGTGAACTGAACAGACTAGCATTTTGGTAATGTTTGTTTTGATACAGCTATAGACAGTCGCATTTAAATAGTGATTTTCCCATGTTTACTTGCAATTATTTTTATTTTTTAATGTTTACTTTTAAAAAATCATTATAACCTGAACGGAAGTGAAGATATTTCTTTACATTCTGTCATGAACTGATAGCAGTTCAAAGAGAATATAAATATACAGCCACAAGTTTCCTGAAATACTGTCCACAAGGAATTTAGGAAGCATTCTAGCATCTCTCCACAGAAATGTGTCTTCTTAGATTCTTGCATTTTATTTCACTGAGAACCCTATGACAGGTTTTGTGCACAAACAGCCTTTTATCCCAAAATCCTTCAAGTCGTTCATATAGTCTGGAAAACATTTTTTTCACAATTATCCAATAAAGGCTTGTTGGGGACAGGAAGTATTAAAAAAGTGTGCAAAAGTGATGTAACACTTTCCTGTGCCTTGTCCTCATCATGATGCTGCTTTATAAACTCCGTCCACAGCATCTTGCATTAGAATCATCTGGTTTCTACTCTAAGTAACTCAGGCTCCTAATGGCCTCAAGGGCTTGAAAATGAATTGTGGACCAGGATTCCCCTGGTCTAAGGTATTCTAACCACATGTCCTCTATTATAGCCCCAACCTTTCTCCCTTCAATGCTGGAACATGATGGGCTAGCCCTGCATCAGCTTTAATTCTCTGGAAAGGCTAAAAGTCTGGTTTCTTTTCCATTCTATCTCCAGCAAGGTCTACATAGGAGTTTACTCATACCATTCATGTGACATTGGCTCACAAAACAATAGTCTCAATTGATATACCCCAGTTTTAGGGAAAATCATACTGATAGGGCTAGACAGTGGTATTTACAATCTATGTTTATGTTTTAAAACAGCATTTTAAAACTGGTACATTGTGTAGATGGATTAATAGGTCCAGTCTTTTGACCTTAACAATTCTGATGGTTATGATTTGGAAGGGAGATCAGGGAAGACTCAGAGAATTACAGTTGGCAGGTGACCAGGACCTAGAGGGCTGT